AAACAAACAAACAAACAAACAAACAAAAAACCCACTGGGTTTCTTCATTTGTAAAATGGGCTAAGAACCCTAATGGTTCAGGGTTTCTCTGGGAACTAAATGAGGGAATGTATACTGAAGTTGCATATCCCAACACTGGGAACAGGGTCAGCCTTCAGTGAATGGCAGTTCTTGTTATCAAAACAGGACAGGACTGATTAGAGGACGCGGGGTTTTGGCCAGAGGTTAGACTCATTCAGGCAAGGCAGGGATCTGGAAAGCCTCAGCAAGGTGGGTAGGAGGAAGTCTGGGAGTGCAGGTGTATTGGGGTCACTTTGCCACAGGCTCATACCTGATGTTCAGGTAGGAAAGAAGAAACAAGGACTCAGCCTCAGAGACTGAACTTGGGGACAGGAAAAATGAGAAAAAAAGAAGAATCAAGATGGGAAAGGAGAGAGAGATCACAGAGGGGCACATGCATGAGAGACCCAGGAGTGCACAAGGCTGAGTCAATGCTGACCCACCAGCAGTGCTCCTTGCTTGTCTTAATTTAAAAGCTGAACCAGACCTAGAGCCTGCAGGTGGTGGCCGGAGAAATTGGGCTGCTGGGCCATTGCAGGTCAAGCCAGGGCTCAGCTGGTGGGTGACACAGCACTGCTACCGGCAGATGTAAAATAGTGAGGTGGTGAGTGATGATAGGAAAAAACCAATAAAGCTGGAGACCACTTCCCAATTTCACAGAGGCACTTGTCTTTCACTGAAGATCATGGGTCAGGTGTAAGTCTTGGTGAGAAGCAGTTGTCTTTGGACAATCTTCCATTCACAAGGAGTCTCAATGGTGCTGTGTGAGTATCGGAGTCTCTGTTGTCTTGCCTTCCGCCGATGGGTGTTTCTTGGAGAGAAATAGTGATCTGCTCTCTTCCATAGTCATAATGAACTCAGGAAAATCCAAGAAGCAAATTCCTGCTCTGTGAGTTGACCTCTTTGTAATAACCTAAATCTTGCTTTTTGAGGGTTTGGGGAAAACAACTAAAGCCCAAGGGTATCCCAGGACAGCAGGAAATAGGATCAGGATGAGATTTATGGGTCCTGTCTTCAGCTGTTCCAGTGAGAGAAGCAAGAGCGGTAGAGGACAGACTTACCAAGCCTCTTAACCCTGCTTGAGGTTTGGGAGTACAGAGTGGGGAGAGAACAGAGCTTCCTATAAGGGAAGGAGACCTGTGGTTATCATAGCTCAGCCAGGGAGCTGCACACCTTGGCATTGTGTGCAGCTTCTCAGCTCACAGCACATTGTCAGCAGCAGCAAGTTTGACATTCTAATACTTGAGAGAGGGTGGCCAGTGATCATCCTCAGCAAATCTCATGTCAAAGACAGGGCAGTGGAGACAGCTTGAGTTCTTTCTTCCCAGTTCTTACCAGGGGCCAAGTGCCTGGCACTCTCTCTAGAAGGCCAACAGCTGCCTACTGCCGAAAAGACTGAGGGCCTCATTAGTTAGAGGCAATGCTTGTTTGCATTACTGTGCACAAGGGGCTCCAGTGGCTGAGTTGTCCATGATGAGGTGGTAGCCACATTTGACGAGGACTTCCTACCTAATTGTCCACAGGTGTGGTTGATGCTGATCAGCATGTTCAGGAGTTGCGTGGTTTGGTGCAGCGGTTCTCAAACGTTGGTGTGCATGAGCATAACCTGGACGTGTTTTAGTAATTCAGATTCCTGGATTGCAATTGTAATGATTCTGATTCAGTCAGTCTGAGGTAGCTCTGGGGGTCTGTGTTTTTAATGAGCCCCCTAGTTAATGACAATGAAGATATGCCAGGAATCGCACTTTGAGAAGTAGGGGTGTTGTGGACGAGTCCTGGGCTGGGACTCAGGAGAAGGGAGTTCTGGTCTTGGATCTTCCCCTAACATGCTGTGCAACTTTATGTGAGCTCCTTCCATCTCTGGGCCTGTTTTCTTTATAAAATAAGGGGGTTGCACTAGATTAGCAAGTCTCAACCCAGGCCCCATGGTAGAGTCACATGGGGAGCTTTGACAAAATGCTGGTGCCTGATCCACACTCCCAGAATGCAGGGCTCTGGCCTTTCAACACACTGGGGAAGAGTTTGGCTATGTATGTATGTTTAAAAAGCTTCCAGGTGATTCTAATTGCTGCTGGGGTTGAGAACTACTGTCTAGATAATGCCCAGTGTTCCTTCCTGTTCTAGAATTCTGAATCTGTGTGACACTACATTACCTATGACTCATTTCTTCCTTAATCCCTGTCAGGCAGGAAGGGTTTTCTACATAAGACAGTTTTCCACATAACTAAATACTCCATTAAACACCAACCGTTTAAAACTTTTACCCTACTTTGATTTCTCTTCTCGTACAAAACATCAAAATCTTTTGATGATATAAGGTTACCTCTATGATCACTCATTTGTGCATCCATTCAATAAATATGGATTCGGTGTCTACTGAGTGCTAGGTGCTAATGAAAAAAATGCTATAGTGCAGTAGAAAGATTGATGGACTATGGGTCAATAATAATAATAATAACTAAATTTAAATATTCATGAAGTGCTTTCTATGTGATAGGCACTGTCTCTAAGCACTCTAGTTTCATTATCTCATTTAATTCTCACAACAATCCTCTCAGGCAGGTACAAACACATCCCTATTTTATGGGATGGGGAAACCAAGGCACAGACAGGTTTGGTACTTTCTCAAGGCCACGTAGCTGGTTGGGACAGAGGCAGGACTGAAATCAAATCCTGACCTCTCTGTGTGATCTGTGACAGTTTTTCCCTCCAAAGCCTCAGTTTCTTTCTGTGCTGAGTGAACTCTGAGCCCTTACATCTCACAAGTCTGGGTCTACCTTCCAGGTCCCTCAGGAAGTCCCTCACATGCATCAAGGAGAGCCTGCGTATCTTCATCGACCTGGGGGAGAGAGACAAGGCTGCCGAGGCCTGGCTCGGGGCGGGGCGACTCCACTACCTCATGCGAGAAGACGAGCTGGTGGAGCTGTACCTGCAGGTAGGCTTCCTGCAGAGCTCTCAGGGATCTGACGACTTGGGCTATTTGGAGAGGTAGGTGTGCTCTCCAAATTGACCAGCTGGAATTAGAGAGGCGTGATGTCCATGCCAAGCCCTTGGACAGAGGATCAACACTGGGCTGCTCCCTGGACACATGACGGAAACTCAGCAGTCCCGCAAGCTGAGTACTGGTGGCAAACAGCCAGTCCCTGAGTCCCATATCCATGTGTGAGCCCTGGGAGGATGTGAGCCCTGGGGGGATGTGAGCCATTGCTCACCTCTCACATTAAGCATACCCTTCTTTCCAAAGCTCAATGTGCACTTTGAATTTAGGATTTTGCTGCAATTTGAGGCAAGGTTGATGTGTGGGGGGTATTAACAACATTGTTCTCTTGTGGGTATTTTTTTGTTTGCATACTTTTAATATCTGAAATGTGGTATAGTGTAGTGATTAAAAGCCTGAGCTTTGAAGAGACAAAAGTGGAATCAAATCATGGAGGCATTGATCATGGACTGTGTGACTTTGGGCTTGCTACATGAGCACTCTGGGCCTCAATTTCTTCATGGGGAAACCCAATCTCTTAGTGTAAGGATTAGGTAAGATACATATATGTATACATGTTATATGTATATATATATATCTTACCTAATCTTACCTTATATGTACACTACACACACACACACACACACACATCTCATTTGCATAGTGGCAAATGCATTATATGCACTTACTAAGTGCTCAGGACATATATATATCTTACCTAATCTTACCTTATATGTACACTACACACACACACACACACACACACACATCTCATTTGCATAGTGGCAAATGCATTATATGCACTTACTAAGTGCTCAGGACTTAGTAAAGGCTTAATAAATGGTATTTTATTGTTATTGCTATTATAACTATTATCTGTACAATACTAACATTAAATAATATGATGGTATGCAAAATGTTTTATTTTCTCTCATTTAATTCTCCTTTATACTATTACGTAAATTTGCACAGACTCCCTTCTGTTGAGACTTAACAATGGCTGCATAACATTGTTGCATGCTTCCTATGAACAGGAGACTTTGCTAAACACTTCACCAGCCTAATGTAGTTCAGTTCTCATTACAAGTGAAGTAGAAGTTTCTATTATAATTTTCACTGTACAGATGAGGCTCAGAGAGGCTGAGTAACTTGCCCAAGATGATACAGCTGGCAAGTGGTGCAGCTGAGAGTTGCACACAGGCAGTCTGACTTAGAGTCTTCACTTCTCAGCCTCTACACTATTCTGCCTTGGGATTTTAGAGCTAGAAGCATTTTCAAAGAGCAGACAATTCAATCTTCTGTCATGACTGGGAGACTGGAGCTGAGAGGGAGCTGTTTGGGTTGTGCACTGTATCGTGCAAAACTCCTGACTCCGGGATTCCATCCCACTGCCCCTGTCTGTGTAGCTGCACATGCAACAACAATAACTGCAGAGTTGCCTGAGTGTTTAGATGTTCACTGGACAGAACTGCTCTAAGGCCCCGCACAACCCCAGGCTGACACCTAACGTGATGTTCGGCGGGGTTGTTTTCATTAACGTGAATCATTCTCCACCTAAGGCTATTTGAGGTTGTGTAACTGTGCTGCAGATACGGCTTGACACTCTTCACTGTTCAACTTCCTCTTCACTTTCATTGAGGTGCAATATGAAATAGCTTGCTAGAGATAAAGAGACTGTGGGGGCTAAGAGAAGGGTATTGGGCTGGAAGATACTAGTATTTATTTGCCACTAACTATTGGTGTGAACTTGGAGAGTTTCCGTATTCTTTCTGAGCCTTACTATCTTAATAAAGAGACTGTGGGGGCTAAGAGAAGGGTATTGGGCTGGAAGATACTAGTATTTATTTGCCATTAACTATTGGTGTGAACTTGGAGAGTTTCCGTATTCTTTCTGAGCCTTACTATCTTAATCCAGAAAGAGTAGGTGTTGGATTAGATCACTGTTTTTTAATCTTAGTCATTTACACATTAAGAAAATAGTTTTGCTATATCCATGTACATTCTCTACCATTATTTGCTTATTTTTTTAGATCCAACTTCAAATTAACCTTGCTTTACACTTAACCTTATGCTAAACAATGCTGACTGAAATCACAGACTTGATACTTTATCGATCCTTTTTTCTAAAATACATTAAAATAAATACATAACTATTAAAATATAAAATGTCTATCTATATGCTGCTAAAATTCATCCCTAGCACCACCAAAAGTAACCTCTTGTACCATGATGGGGAAATGCTCTGTCTTTTTTCTAGCCCTATGAGTGTGCAGGACAATTTTGGATTTGGGGGACTGTAACAGAGGGTTAAACTAGGTGGTCTGCATCTTACTCCTGCCAGTCCTGGGGAGGTCTGGAAGCCCCTGACTCTTCTTTGACAGCCGTCTCTATCCCACCCAGGCTGCCATCCAGACAGCCCTGAAGGCCGAGGAGCCCTCCCTGGCTCTCAAGCTCTACGAAGAAGCAGGTGACGTGTTCTTCAATGGGACCCGCCACAGGCATCGTGCAGTGGAGTATTACCGAGTAAGTCACGGCTATGCAGTGTGTTGAGCTGGGCTCTGGCACAAACGTAGGCAGGGACACACTGGGCTTTCATCTCAGATTCCTCTTCACCTTTCTTGCTGGTGTTTTTCTTCCCTCCCTTACACATCCAGCACCCACTTACTCTTCCTCTCTTCAACCTAGAAGGTGCTCAGGGAAGGATCTGATAAAATGTCATTCTCAGGCTTGATAAATGATCCTTCCCAAGATTATACACCATAATAATTACATCTCTTTTGTGCATGGTACTTTACAGTTTGTAGCACACTTCCACATTTACCAGTGTTTTCCATGTACCACTGGTGGCGTGGTAGAGATGATATAAAGTGGTACATGGATAAACATTTTTGTTTACTATGTTTTTACTGAGCATGTATTAAAAGGTATTTAAAAAAATTAAAAATGTATAATAGCAGCTCATCAAACCCATGATTTCACAGATATTATTGCAAAGAATGAGGCAAGATAATAAAAGAGTTGATTTGAGAAATAATACAAATTAAAGAAATGTCCAGATGTTAAGCAAATATGTCAAATATCATAATTGTTGTTCATCACCGACTAAAGTTTGGAAACCTCATTATCTTATTTGATCCTAAAATTTCATTTATTCAGCAATTCATTCATTTGTGTGTTCAGTTGTTCAGTCTTCAAACATTATCAAGCTCCCCGTCTGTGCCAGGCACTGAGCAAGGGGTGGGGAGTACAAGAAACACGTCTCTGACTAGTGAGGTGCTTATTTTCATATACATTTTGTAGACAAGAAAACTAAGGCTCAGAGAGACAAAGTGACCTGCCTATAATCCTACCATAATAAAAATATAGAAATGAACATTTATTGAGAGCTTTCAGACACTATGAGCATGTGCGTATGTGTACTTCATGAATTAGAGCTGTGGACGCTAAGAGAGCACATAGCTGAGAGGCGAATAACTTCCCACGTGATCTTGGGAACAGTCACTGCCCTTTCCTGCTCTAGGTTTCCCCAATTTCAGGAGACCTGATGACCTCTAATCCTTCCACCTCTAAGATTTGGATAAAGCACCACGAGAAAGGACCAGGAGAGTGAGTTGAGAAAAGGCATGCACGGAAATGCACCGACCCCCTTCACTTTAGCCCATCCACCCAGCCCCTGCCAGGAGAATCGAGGCCTCCTAGACCCTGGTATGTACTGATGATTCTCAGCTAGACAAATGTTCCTTGTGCCTCTGTTCTCAGGCTGGGGCTGTTCCTTTAGCAAGGAGGATGAAAGTGATGAGAACAGAGCTCCGGATATTCAACAAGCTGACGGAGCTGCAGATCAGCCTCGCAGGCTATGAGAAGGCCCTGGAATTTGCCACCTTGGCTGCCAGACTGAGCACAGTCACAGGTCGGTGGTCTTCACTGTCGGGCATATTGAATGGGAGGGATAAACACTACTCAAGGATGTACAACAAAACAGTAACGGCACAGGCTCTGGAGTCAGATTGTATGGATTCAAGTCCCAGGTCCAAAGTCAGGGAGACCTTAGTGAAACAAGCTGCTGAACCTCTATAAGCCTCAAATTTATCATTGCCAAATCAGGATTAAAAATAGCACCCACCTCATGCAGTTGTTATGAAGACCTGTGATTATTCATGTAAAGACTGCAACACAGGGCTAGGTACATAGGAAGTCCATTTATCATTGCCAAATCAGGATTAAAAATAGCACCCACCTCATGCAGTTGTTATGAAGACCCGTGATTATTCATGTAAAGACTGCAACACAGGGCTAGGTACATAGGAAGTCTTTGGTAAGTGTTATCTATGCCACACTAACTTTGCTTCTTCCAAATTATTCAAATTAACTATGCTTTTTACATTTAGCCTTATCTGAAATCACAGGTTTGATGCATCATTGATCTTTTTTCCAAAACATTAAAATAAATACTTAACTATTCAAACATAAAATGTGTACATGCTGCTAAAAATCATAATTACTATATTATAATCATTATGATATTACAGTTTGTATTGTTCCCTGAGTATGAGGTAAATGGTATTTTATTCTATGCATAGGCATTGCCCCCATTAAAAAAGGACTGTGTCCTGAATATTTAATTGGTTGTTAGTCAAAATCACATTCTCCCATTTGACTCCATTCTTGGAATCAAAGTGTAAATGAAGGTCAGGTTCTCATTAACCTAACTCACAATATAGCTGAAATAGCTTGCATTTATGGCAAAAGCTAGTGAGAAATAATGTAAGTCATTAAAACAGAAAAACTGCAGAATAAAAAAGATAAAAAAATTACTCATCATGAATGTTGGTACTTGAGGAAAAGCAGGTTTGATTAAAGAAGCTTGATTAGATGTAGGGGTAAATGGAGTCTTCTGTGATGATTATGAAGGGACTTCTGGGTATTTTCAAGAGCATCCAGTGTGGATGATACTGGACTTTATTGTATCTAATTGCACTTTTCTCTTTCTTTTCTACCATTTTCTTTGCTGCAAGAAACCTCATCTGAGTGACTGCTAATGTCAGGAAAGGCCTCAAGGGTCCCAGGCAGCTTTCTCTTAGCAATCTCTACCCCTCCCTGGATGGGAGCTGGAAAGAGGCTATTTATACACCCTTCCTGCATGTACTTCCCTGTGACTGGATTTTTCCATATCAGTGAATTTTCTTTCTCTTGGACTATCTCTTAATTTTTGCTTTCGGCCCTTTGAAGCTTAAAAGTCATGTTTTTAGATGGTATCAAACAGCTACCTTGCAAATATTCCAAAGTTGTCATTGGAAGCCTTTGTTCCCTATAAAGGTCACTTTGTATTAAAGGGGTTGGTTAGTCATTAAAAAAAAAACAAACCCACCAAAACCCCAAACAACAAGTCACAGACCCATTGGAAACCAGTGTTCTAAAGCATGGTTTAGAAGTGACTGGGTCTCTGCAACCTATCTGAGACTGAGAGTTGGTAAAAGGACTGTGGAGTGACTGCTCCTTGGTGGCAATTCGGAGAACTCTCTGAAGGAGAGACTTTTATGTGGAGGAGAAGACACTTGTTATACGGACTTATTCTGTATAACTGTGTATTATTGCATGGTATTCTTAGCTACTCAATCAAACTAGTCTTGTCACCAGGTCCCATCACAGGGATTTAGAACTAATTCTTTCTCAGAGTTCTGAGTTAGTGACATCTGCAATAAGGAGACAGTTTTCTTCAGAGAATTGTCTCAGCAAACTTTGACCAGCACATATAGTCTACTGAGGCACTCTCCTAGAGAGCTCCAGGCTTTCTTCTGCAGCACTTAGCACAGTGTAATTCTGCATTTGTTGTTTGTGAAACTATGTAAGGAATCTCTGTGTCCTATGAAGATAATAAACTTCATGAGGGCTGAGATCTCCTATCTGTTTTGTTTCTTATGCCCCAAGCACAGTCCCTGACATTTAGTAGACCTTTAAAATGTTATACGGAATGAGTGAGTGAATGATGATGCAAAATGTTGGCCACAGGATACCTCTCTGTCTTCTGATTCCTAGGAAATCAGAGGCAGAAGCTGGTGGCCTTTCACCGCTTGGCTACAGTGTACTACTCCCTGCACATGTATGAGATGGCTGAGGACTGCTACCTGAAGACTCTGTCCCTCTGTCCACCCTGGCTGCAGAGTCCCAAGGAAGCCCTGTACTATACCAAGGTGTATTATCGCCTGGGCCAACTCACCTTCTACCAGCTGAAGGTAAGAGCTAGACTTCCAAGGTTACATGAGAGCGCTATACACTTTTCTGACTCACACAAAGGTGGTGGAGATCCTTTGGGGGTAAAGTTGAGATGACTAAAGAGCCAAGATGGGGAGTCTTGCCTCATAGAGTGGGGAGTGGCTCCACAGGGGACACAAAGACTATTTCTACTTGGCCCCACTGGAGACCTCAAAAGTGATCCCATCTCTGCTGAAGAAATAGATAGTAGCTCCTCTTTCTCTTTACCCTGCTGTAATTTCTGGGGCTGCTTTATCTGTCAGGCACTACACGCACATTGTCTAGTACATGTGAGTCCCCTCAATAGTCTATGAGAATATATGAGACCCCAAAACAAAATAGATATAAGCTTCAAAATTAAAATAAAAATTAATGCCTAATTGTATGTCCACAAAATGTTACAGGTTAACTGGTCAACTGCAACTCATTTCTTATAGTTATATAAAACTATATTTTATAAGAAATGTTGGTGTGTATTTGAGACAATGAGGTATGGGGCCCATGAATATAGGTATGCCTAGGTCCTGAGAAGGCTTTAGCCCTGCTTGCCCAGAACCTCTTGTTTTGCCAGTCACTTCTAGAATTGTGTTGGGGGTCTGCAATTCTCTGTTACAACTCTGACCCTCAAACTGTGTCCCCAGGTTTGGCTTCCTCTTACCAGAGGTTCCTGTCCTCTCCAGCCTTAATCTCTTTATACAGTGGCCTCTGAGTCATACTTGTGTCTGGCCTTCAGGGGACCCTCAGGGCAACTCTGCTGTCCTTTCCTTATTTACCAGACTTCATTTCTGGCCTGAATTAATTATTGACTTATGAGGGTTAATGGGAACCAGACATCCATTTTTGAGTCTCACCCAAAGAAGCATCTATTCCTCATCCGTATTATGTAGGGAGGGACAGGGGTAGCGAAGGACTCCCTAGCCATCTTGCCTCTGCCCACAGGTTAATGGGAACCAGACATCCATTTTTGAGTCTCACCCAAAGAAGCATCTATTCCTCATCCCTATTATGTAGGGAGGGACAGGGGTAGCGAAGGACTCCCTAGCCATCTTGCCTCTGCCCACAGCTCCCAGGAAGTGGTTCAGGGACCAAGAGGGTGTGGTCTGATTGTATCAACCACGGATTCTAGGGATTTCCAAGGGAAGAACTCAACTCAAATTACCTTAAGCAAAAAAGGCAATTTATTGACCTAAACAACTGGAAATTGAGGTATAGATTTAGTTTCAGGTAGTTCTGGATCCTGGTACTCAAATGTCATCATGGATTTCCTACCTCTCTCTGTATCCCTTCACTCTGTATGTTTCTACTTCTCTTTGTTTCTTGGCCTCCTTCCCCTCCAGCTACTGGAGGGACCATTTCCCCTGCTGGGTCACACTGAAAAGTTCTGGGGAGTGATGGGTAGGTCATGTTTGGGTCATGAATACATCCCTGAAGCACCGTGCCCAGAGCAATGATGTTTCATGATTGGCCGAGCCTGGTAAGGTACCACCTCTGCCTCAGGTGGAGGGGGACTGTGATTAGCAATGCCCTGGGGACCACAGAGGGGTGGGAGAGGAACTCCCTTGAGGAATGAGAAGAAGGGGATGGGATGTTGGGCAGAAGAAGCTAGAGTCCCCAGCACTGCCTCCCTATCTGCCCTGGAAGTGTTTGCTAATGCTATCTCTTCTTTGCCCCCATACCATGGGGTTAGGATGCCCACGACGCCACTGAGTACTTCCTGCTGGCCCTGGCAGCAGCGGTCATGCTGGGTGACAAGGAACTGCAGGACACCATTAGGAACAGGCTGGACACCATCTGTCAGAGCCCCCTGTGGCACAGCAACCCCTCTGGGTGTTCCTCGGAGAGGGCGAGGTGGCTGAGTGGTGGGGGCCTGGCCCTCTGAGGAGAGCTGACTGGTCGCCATGGCCAGAGGCTGCCTCTCTGCCCAGCCTCTTAGATACTAATCAGCAGGGTCTGAGTCATCACCTGGCTCAGCCCCTCATTTTACAATGAGAAGAGCGAAGTCCAGAGGGAGAGGGGATCATTCCGGCCACACAAGGAGTGGATGATGCAGCAACGATTAAAAATCCTGGCCTCTAAAATGCACTTTCTTGACACATAATTCTGAAGATGAAAAACCTTGCTCTCTGGGAACCTTCTCTCCTTCCCCCAGTGAGGAAATCAGGCACTGCACTGGCTAAAGGACAAGCAGATGAGAGTTTGTGCTCTTCACTGATTTTCTCAGGGAAAGACCCTTCCCCTTGCCAGGGGCTTCTTTCTTTTGTTTCTTCAGAACCAAAGGAGGTGCCCGTCTTCATGCTCATGGGGTCTGGCAGGAGAGACTTCACCATGCTCTTAGCTCAAAAGACACAGCCTCAGAATGGCCGGATGGAATGCACAGGGCATGGGGTCTGACTCGGAACCACCATCTCCGTCCTGCCACATAACCTCTCAGAAACTCCAGGGAAGCTTTCCAAGGGCCAAGGCTTGAAAACAGAGCACTAAGAAAATTATGACATAAATTACACATAAATAGTGTATATCATTAAATATTGCATGTTTACATTTACACACACATTTTGTCTCCTTTATAATAGGGACAGATGAGATGGGAGACTTGAAGGATGGATTAAATACCAATGTATCTTACTGATTTTAGTGTAGCTCCTTTACAAAGCATCTCTATGTGTTATCTGTCATTGCATAACACACTGAGTGGCTTGAAACATTTATTATCTCACTGTTTCCATAGGGCAGGAATCCAATGTGACTTAGCTAGGTCCTCTGGCTCTGGGTGGCTCACAAGGCTGCAGTCACCTCAAGGTCAGCTAGAGAAGGACCATTTGCAAGCTCACTCATATGGTTGTTGGCAGGAGTCAGTCCCCACTGGCTGTTGGCCAAGGGCTGCCCACAGTGATGGGCATGTGGGCATTTGCACGGAGCAGTTCACAGCATGGTAGCTGCATCAGAGAGTGAGTGAGAGGGGCAGGAGTGAGAGCGAGTGAGAGAGAAGTCAGTGTCTCTTCATAACCTAATTGCAGCAGTGACAACCCCTTAGTTTTGTCTATTTCTATTCATTATAAGTGAGTCACTAGGTCTGGCCCACACTGAAGGAGGAAGGGGGTTACCAAGGGTGGAATACTAGGAAGCAGGGAATCATTGGGGATCGTTTCAGAAGCTACCTACCTCAGTACCTGAGTTCTTTGATAATGGAACCAGCAATTCTCTAAGGCAGTAAACTCAAAGTATTGCCCACTGACCAGCAACATTGGCATCACCTGTGAGATTGTTTGAATTGCAAATTCTGAGGCCCCCACCTAAGGCCTCTAAAGCAGAATCTCTAGAGCCCAGAATCCTGGGTGTGAAAAGCTCTGCAGATGATTCCATTGCACACTAAAGTCCGAGAAGCACTGCTCTGCAACAGGTGTTCTCAATGTGATACAAATTACCTGCGGGACTTGCTGAACATGAACTTCCTGATTCCTACCCCTAATAATTCCGATTCAGTAGGTCTGGGATCTATCTGACCTAGGAACATGTATTTTTATCAAGGAACTCAAGTCATCTTGATGCAAATGGTCCACGCTTGCTCTGGAGTCTGCCAACACACAAGGAAATCTAGCCATAAGTCTCTCTACCTGATGTGCATTAGCTTAGATTTTACAGTCAGAAAATCTGCCCTTAATTTCTAGCTTTCTGGGCTGACCAGATGGTAGGTTGTGTGGGAGGGTGGGATGGGAGTGGTGAGTTGAGTGACTATTGCATCTTCTAGTCACCAAGGTTGTCTACATATATTTTTGGTTAGTTGTCAAAACACTCTAGAGAGTATTCTTCCCCAGGAAGGACATGAAATGATCTAATCCACTACCATGTAAAATAGATGTGGGTTTGCTCCCAGCACAAGCCATAAAATCCCTGAGCTGGGAGAGTTGTTGTGGTTGAGGTTATTTAGTCTAATCTCTCATGCAGAGTCCTTTCAGCAACGTTCCTGGGAGACGGTCAGAGGCTCATGCGTTCCAGAGCAGTTACACATCTTATATTTGTGGAAAGCTTGCTTGGCTCTGGTACCCATGCCACAAGCCATTCTCCATTTGACTCAGGTTACAGAACCCTTCCTTTTCCCCACCAACCCATCACTCTCTGGCTAGATTTGTTTCTGTTCCTCTAAAAGTGTGGTTCCCATAACTGCTTTTGATGTTGATGGGTGAGTGAAGAGTGCAGAGGGATTTTATGTACTTAATGTAATTTAATGTTGTATTTTAACTTTGTATTAAGGTTTTTCTTCTCCCTTGGCTCACATTGAGCTTATAAACATTTGAAACCTCTACATCTTCTCGAGTGAACTCCTGTTCGGCCAGATCTTTCTCAATTGCTACAAATATGCACATACATACATTAATGCATGCACACATATGTGAAGGGCATTTTATCTATCCATTTTACATTTCACTGGGAATTTTGGTTAAAATCTTCCAATTCTGTGCACTTTGATTCACCTGTAAATTTGATTCTGGTAAATTTGTCTCTAACCAGGTCAGTTATAAAAATGTTTAATATGCTTCCAAAGGCAAGGCTATCTAATAGCGATTTCTACATTTTATATGTAAACTACTTGCTTAAATAGTCTTTGAGAGTGTTTTAACTAAATTATTTTAAAAATGTGGGCTAACTATTCCCTTTGGAATCATGTTGATGCTATTTTTCTTCGTGATCTACAGAGAGTGAAGTGGTGATTGGATCTGGTCTCTGTGTAAGAAGATTTTATTATACAGTACATATTTGTATATCACAGGCAAAGATGAATCAATTACCCTCTTTATACTAACCCTCCTCCCAAAACTTCCTTGTGCTACCTGGCTCCTGGTTCCTGTATTCATCTAAATAAAAAACAAGAAGGGAATTGCAACATTTTGGAAAACCCTGTAACATGTTTTCTCAGCATTCAGGTACACTGCTTCCCTATCCAATGCATTAACACTCTGAAATCTAATATTGCTTTTATCCTTTTTATTATTCTTTTAAGATGCCATTATATTGTGTATGTATGTGTTTGCTTATACTTTGTAAATACAATGTAACTTATCTGACAGAAGTTTATCTGGGGAAGGGAGTATGGGAAGGTGGAGGGTATCAGAATTGGTGGGGAGGCAGATCACCAGTGGGGGGATACCTGGATTTTGGTCTTGATTTTGACATTAAATTTCAGTGACCTTGGACAAGTCACTTAACCTCTATACACCTCAGACCTCTGATCTCTAAAATATGACCACCTCTGGTTTCTTTTCAGCAATGTTATTTCCACACTGTAGGAACAGCATGAGAGATGGTATCTGGGAGATGAGATCATATATGTTTATAGCCCAATTTTATTCTCTTCTTTTTACAGGTGAATAAACTGAGAAACAGAAAACTGATTTTCTCCCAGCTACATAGGTAGTTAGTGGCGAACACAGCAGTATTCTAGATCTCATGACCGAAGGACTTAGTTGTACAAATGACAGGATTTCTGACATTCAGGGCTACCTTCACAGTCGCATGTGTATGTGTATGCGTGTGTGTATGTATACATGCATTTGTCATCATGTACCACCTGACAACCATTTACCAAACTCTTTCTAAATTGATATACTGCATTTACCCATATCAACTCACTTTATAAAGGATGACTGGTTTATGTCGAAGAAAAAGCTATATTACTTTCCATAAAAAGAACTCCATAAATAATAAAAAATACGATAAAAATGAATCAATGCACTAAGTCCAACCAGGTCCTGTTGCCTACTGCAAGTGTCTAGTCTGGGTCTGATCTGGCATTGTTTGGAAACAGAGAGATGAGCAAGCGGTGGGGAGTGCAGAAGACAGACTGGCATCCACCACTTTCTCCTGGACCAATCAGAGAATCGAAGAAAGTGGGAAGAGGACTGACCTCCCAATGAGAGTCAATGACATCCAGTGCCATGTGGGGACTCAGTTGGGTGACAGGAAAGGGACAAATGATAGACTATGTAACATGATTCAGGATCAGAAGCATTGTGATGGGAGTTGAATACAGGATGCTGTGGACACTCAGGGAAGGGGACTATACCTAGGCACGGGAGTGAGGGCATCGGTGGGGGGCTCTCTGGAGGAAGGGACATTTAAACTGAGTTCTGAAAGAGAGATCTACTTAATTCTAACCGCAGGCCAGTAGGTTGTTGTTGACAGACAGGGCATGGGTCAAGCAAAGGTCCAGAAGGTGGAGAGGGCATGACATTTTCTGAGAACAGCAGTGAGTTCAGTGGGACTGGACTGGAGAGAGTCAGGGAAGTAGGGAGGGGAGAGGAGGGGAGGTTGGAGAGGGGAGGTGGACACAGAGACCCTGAGAGGGTTGGGACTCCATCTTGATGGTGAGGAGCCATACAAAGGTTATAAGCAGAGGAGAGAGAGGTGGTCATATTTGTGCTTTGGAAAGATGATTCTGGAAGCAGCGTGAGAATGGATTGATCACAGGACAGCAGGAAGGAAGGTGTAAGAACCCTTAGGACTTGGTTATTGCAACAACATTCCTCAGCCTTTATTCAGATTTCACCAGTTTCCCTGTGTCCTTTTTCTGATCCAGGATCCATCCTAGGATAACACATTGCATTTAGCTGTCACGTTTCCCTAGCCATCTCTGGTCTGTGATAGTTTCCGGTCTTCCCTTGTTTTTCATGACCTTGATAGTATTGGCCTTTCCTTTTGATAGTTGCATTGAGATATGTGGACCAGGAGCAAGGGAGGGAGGAGAAGTCAAGGGCATAGGCTCTGCACTCACCCAGGAGGAAGTCTGACTGGGGGCAAAGGAATAGCTACCAGAGTTGGGCACACCAGGGTTAGAATCTGCTTCTTACTAACTGTGTGACCTTCAGCAAATTAACTTCTCTGAACCCAGTGCTGTCAGAATCATATC